TTTTTTTTTTGTTCGCTCTTCTTTGCTTGCAGATTGTTTCGATTCCTGTATGCATTTTATCACACACGAAAAAAAAAATTGTACCGCGTTTTATAGCCGTTTGTGCGCCTCATGAGTAGAGTATTAATGGCTGAACAGTTGCTACGTCCTGCTTGTTTTTAAGCAGCCAGTTGAATGGAAATCAATGGCGGCGGGTTTTTGTACGAAGCCTTGTTGTTGGTTTAATTTACTAGTGTGCGATGTTTCAGCGGCAACAGTCTGATTTAATATTACCTTTTCTGGCGTTTTAAATTATACACGCACTCCCAATACAATAACATTAAAGTCGCCGATTTAAAAAAAGAGATAAATAATAAGGTAAATCGTGTAACTAATGATTGCGTTAAGGTCTGTGTTTACGCTCAGCAAGAGGTTTACGCTCTTAGTAACTTTATTTGGTCACTTGTAAATCCTTAATGGTGTTTATTGTCACAAGCACATTGCTGCATCGTGTTCATGTGCAGATACAATAGTTAACTTAAGCTTTTAAACAGTGTTTGATTAGTCGACAGACGATTGGAGGCCATTGGTTAGCAGTTTTCATGATTTTTATCAATTGGGTAATCGTTTTAGTCATTTATCAGCCTAAAATCGTATGTATTGTTGATTCTGGCTGTGCAAAAATCTTGCTTTTCTCATAAAGACTCCTGTTTTGTATCATAGTAGTTTAGATATCTTTGTGTTTTTCACTTTTGATAAGACAAAATAGTTATTTGACATAAATCTTGGGCTCTGGGGAATCTTCTACTACTCTAAGCGATCAGTCAGAAAAGTTATTGACGGATTAATTGGTAATGAAAGTAATTGTTCATCGTTGCACCCCTACAGCATTCACAGCATGTATGAATCAAAGTAACAGCAGCTTGTGTCTGACTTTAGGGCACCATCACCCACGAAGCGTAAGGAGGAGGAAAAAACGAAAGACAGAGGCAAAGAAAAGACCGCTACCAAGGATGGAGACAAGGAGAGAGGACGGGACAAAGCAAGGAAACGCCGCAGTGCCTCTACTGGCAGCAGCAGCAGCAGGTTTGTTTACTATGTTACCTCTGTTATTATTTGTGTTTGTTAGTGAAAAAAAATCATAAATATGTATATTTTCCTTTTCTAACACGTTTTTCTTTGTTTTGACCATGACCAGGTCCAGATCTAGCTCTACTTCAAGCAGCAGCTCTGGTTCCAGCTCAGGTTCCTCAAGTGGATCCAGCTCATCCGGTTCCAGCCGCTCTGGTTCTTCAAGCTCTCGTTCCTCCTCCTCTTCCAGCTCTTCAGGCTCCCCGAGCCCCAGCCGTAGGCGTCACGACAACCGCCGCCGCTCGCGCTCAGCGTAAGTCACTTTTAGAATATCCATACACGTGATGTCTTTTATTTTCACTCGTTTGAGTCACGGTGAGGTTAATCGCTGTTTTTTTTTTGCGTCTCTGCAGGTCCAAAACACAGAAGAGGGGAGATGATAAGGAGCGAAGGAAAAGAAGTCCGAGCCCCAAACCAACTAAAGTTCATTTAGGCCGGCTGACCAGGAATGTCACTAAGGTCAGCTGAGATATTAAGCTTTTTATTGGCAGAACACACAAATATGATTTACCAGGATTTGAGATTATAGCACTGCCTCAGAAACGTCGTGTTGGGTAGATAAGAACAACCTGGTTCATAATCGCCTGGACCAAAATGGAAGTGATAAAGAATAAAAAAAGAATTTTAATGTGGTGTGATTATGTTAATTCATGACTATGGTCCAGTAAACTGCCTTTTCATTTCCTTATTCTTGTTGCCAGCTGTCTATTTTATGTATTATGAACAGATACTGCTCCACAGATAATCATAGCTTTCTGTTAACATGGTTCTGAGGATTTATCTCCATCTTTTTTTGCACAGGACCACATCCAGGAGATCTTTTCCACTTATGGAAAAATCAAAATGGTCGAAATGCCAATGGACAGGCTCCACCTACACTTGTCCAGGGGTTATGCTTACGTGGAATTTGAGACTCCTGAGGAGGCCCAGAAGGCCCTCAAATACATGGACGGAGGTAGGCCAGAGTGTTTGTTTCAGTGACCTTGTCTCGAAGCATTAACTCGGGCACACGTGTTGAATAAATGTGATGACTTTATCGTTGATAGGTCAGATTGACGGACAGGAAATCACTGCGTCTGCCGTGCTAGCTCAGCGAGTCCGTCCTCCACCTCGTAGACCATCTCCCCCTCGCAGAATGCCCCCACCACCGCCTATGTGGCGCCGGAGTCCACCACGCATGAGGAGAAGGTACATTAAATATTTTGCAGTAACAATGTCCATGTTTAAATTACCTTTTTCTTTGTTGTATGTTTATGTTCTTCAGTTCAGACCATTTAGTCTGCGCACTCTTCGTGCTTTCCCACCACAAGAGCTTTATTTAATAAAAGTTTGTGCCCTCGCAGGTCCCGCTCCCCCAGGAGGCGGTCCCCAGCACGCCGCCGTTCTCGCTCCAGATCTCCTGGTCGCAGGCGTCACCGCTCTCGTTCCAGCTCTAACTCCTCCAGATAGACGGGTTTCCTGCGTACTGATACCAAGCGATCTCTTTGATTCTCTTGACACTTCTCTGATCAGCTGGAGCTCCTGCTCTGGACTCACCAGAAATAAAAACATCTACATTGTAGCCAACACAAACATCTGCCTGCATGTAGAAAGCTGAAGTGTTTTTTTTTATTTTTATTTGTGCAAATGTGAGTTTCCTTTCATATTTTGTTTTAAATTGATCCTGATAAACCAGTTCTGTGTTTATTTTGTGTTTCAAGCCAAGTTTGGGCTCCACTGAGCTACAAATATTTCTTTTGAAGTGTGACTTCTTTTTACCACGTACAGAATTTTTAGACATTTTGAAAAATAAAAATGCTGAAACATACAGTTTGTGAGTTCAATTTGTAACAGTCTGGCCAAGATTCTGAAAGGCCTTCGCTGTTAACCTCCTTGGCTCTGTACCTGTCAGCTATGTTTGCTCAACGTTACCGTTATTTAATCTTCTGGAGAACGTGTTAATGTTTAATGTGTCTGCCACACTTGCTTGAATATCAACCAAAAAGATACACAGCATTTGCTCTCATCCTGTTTTTAAGAGCTTTAACTTCTATAAACATGTTTTTTGACTTGTGACAGGCAATACAAAAGGAAGATTTAGCACCCTTTCGATATATCCTAAGTTTAGAAGGGTCAGCAGAAAGTTAAAACTACTGTAGCTGCATTTATGCTGTGGAAACACTACAGAGGGTGCACACAAGCCTTTTCAATAAGCGCATTTTATATTATGTCCTCTATTGAAATAAGTAAAGCTTAATATATCACAGCACATATTGATATTATTAAACACCACAGTGGTTTTCCTGTTATGTCATGTAAAAAATGTCAGTGGTAAACAATACCATGTTTTTAAAAAGGCTCTGCATATCCAGAGTGAACCCACACAGGTGGTTTCAATAATTTTGGCTCCTAAAACCTGATTGGTACATACAACGTAGTTCCGCCCACCTTCAAACACAGGCCCAATCACCCACAAGTGAAAACACCATGTGTCAGAATAAAAGAACAAGGTATTTTAATTAAGGATATTTACCACAATGTTATAAAAGGTAGTGAGTTTGGTGACAGCTTGTCAAATGTCTTACTGCTGGGGCAGATTTTAGGCGTAGTTCAATACTGACTACAACCTCCAGCATCATATTAATGTCCTCATCAAAAACAACTCTTCTCCTGCAAATACAAACCCGCTTATGTTCAGATCGAAGGCGAAGAAAAGCAAACCAACACCTGAGTGAAATTTCTGTTAAATATTTCCTGGCTGTAAACTAGTGAAGGAGGCAATCAGAGAGTAAATGTGGGTGTATATTTCCTACCACCTTAACGACCGCTGGGTGTCTCACTCTACAGAGAGACACAGAGACAAGACTTCAATGCATTTATTGTTGTATCTATATGTAGTTTCTTTTAGAGCATGTACACAAGACTGACCATGCTCCGCCATTCAGCCACCCTCCTCCTACAACTACAGCCATCGCTTTAGATTATAGAGAAGCGCTCTTACAATTTCAGCCCAGCGCGTCCAGGCGGCAATCTTACTTTCGATGCATGAGAGTTTGAGGCTTTCAGCCGCTGAGGAGGCATCTGAGCTGAATCATTTGCATTATGGCTTCGGATCAAGAAAAGAACAGACAGCGTGTGAAACAGCTTCTGGGGAAACCTGGGAATGGAAACTGTGCCGACTGCGGAGCTGCAGGTAGGCTGGAGGGGAGTCACTGACAGATGCTGGACACATTATTTACCTTTTTCCTACTTTTGTTTATACGTTCGGTGACGATCCTACTTTTCTCTTATCCCCATGCGTTATTATGAGCTACAGATAATCAACTGTAGGGCATTTACAGCAATTTCGCGGGAGTGTGCAAGGTCGTTGAGTTCCTCTTCCCAGACAGTCACGATGTGATCTAGGCATGGTTATGAAATATAAAACAGTTGACATAATGAAGATCCTCACACAGGAGAGAAATGGACTTCCCGAGGAGTTCAATAAGAGAGCAACTAAATATTGTATAAGCTTTTTTAAAAACGGCTGTATTCATTTTACAGGCTTCTAGCAGCTTTCATAGATATATATTATGTTATAAATAAATAACACATGTCGACCAATGAGTGGTTTTTATTTCAACTTAGAGCTCAGTCTTGGTTAAAAAAGTGGTTATCATATTAAATCTATTGAATTAATCATTTTCCCATTCCTAGGCAGCGTCTCTTTTTCACATGTATTTTGTGTTGAAGGGCCAAACATGTATTCATTTCCTTTTGCATGAACACATGTGGTCACACACACTGATGGTCACACCTAGTAGATTAGCACTTCAACTCTGCAGTTCAGTAGCCTACATGGCAAACAGGTGTGGTTTGTGAAAAAAAAAAAAAATCTACAGCCTGAGTTAAAGTCAGAGTGGGCTATTGTGGTTTATTGAATGTATTGATGTGCCCTACTTTGCTTTGGTCTTGGTTCCAAAGTGTAAGCTTTCTAAATTTACTTCAAGATGTTGATATATATATATATATAT